TCACATAAACCTTCAATTTTTATGAGGGGAATATACCATCAGGTGAAAGGTGTTTGCAAGTAATAGTAATAGTTTTATAATTTAAAAAAATTGTTAGTGTGTATTTGAGGTGTGTGAAAAATATGACATATCGCCGACCTGCCATTGAAATACTACAGGGCGTTGTTTGAGTGTTTCTAGTTATTGTTCTAAAACATCTTTCACATACACCTTTAATTTTAATGAGGGGAATATACCATCAGGTGAAAGTTTTTTGCAAGTAATAGACATAGTTATATTTTTTTTTGTTAGTGTGTATTTGAGGTGTGTGAAAAATATGACATATCGCCGATCTGTTCTGATACGCCATTGGTGCTTGTGATGCTTGAGTGTTATACATGTAGTTCTAAAACTGCTTTCTTTCTTGTTGATCTTAGTATGTGACAAAACTGGAAAGGTGTTTACAACGCTTTGTGATAGTTCTAAACTTTCTGTTTTTGAGGGGTCTGTGACAGTGTCAGTTAACATTCTGTCAATGCCCATGTCATTCCACACATGCAATAAGATATCTGAATTAGTTACTAATGTAAAAAAATGTCTCAAAGTAGATTTTTTATAAAAAGGACAGCTGATGTTAACACGTGTTCTACCGATAGTTTTGCGTTCTTTAACATGTTTGGGGAGGGATGGCCGTGGTGTATCATTTATTCTTTCATTCATTCACATGTTCTTTTTCTTTTGTTCTTTTTCTTAATTTCTTTCATTCATTCACATAAAATTCTTGCTCTTAATTCATTCATTCATTCATTGTAAAATTCCGGCTTATACAATACACTGGCTGAAGTACTGTTAAACGCAGCCGAAGTTGCGCTGGGACGAAACCAAGTCACTGTGTGCGTTGGAGCATGACGAGGCACACGTTAATTAGTACAAATGGTAAAGAAAGCAAGCGAGTGACCTATCCCTGTTGTAGAGTATCCTGCGATTACTGAAGGCAAATAATAGCGCACATAGGGTTGCGCAACACAGAGAAAATTACCAGTCTTCGTATAAACATATACGAAGACTGGTAGGGCTAATGTAAGGTCGTTTCGAAAATCTAGGTTCAGAACAGTGTGAGTGAGAATGACTTGCTGCTATTTCAACAATATCAAGTCAGGGGACACCAGAAATGGACTTCATACAATCTGCCTATGTGGGAAACTGAACCCGGGTTTTCGGCGTGAGGAGCTAACGCTTTACCCACTAGGCTATCCCACGGCCCCTTCCGAATCAGAACAAAACGTTTGCTTCAAATGGCATGTACAGTAGCTACCAGATGATAAAAACAACCGTTTTTCTGAGAACTGTTAGACATATTATAATAATTTCTAAAAAGTACAAAATAACTATAAAATTCCGAAATTGTTTCTGACACTCGTTACTATAATGATAATGGAATAACTGGGAGTGTGAGTGAGTGAGTGTGTTTAGTTTTACGCCGCTTTTAGCAATAGTCCAGCAATATCACGACAGGGGACACCAGTAATGGACTTGACACATTGTACCCATGTGGGGAATCGAACCCGGGACTTCAGCGTGAAGTGGGCTACCATCCCACCGAAATAGCTGGGAAAACAAAACAAGCAGTCATGTATGACAGGAGATGTTGTGACTGACGTGGAGCACGGTGGTGTAGTGGTTAGCATGCTGGCCTCTTACGCCAAAGGCCCGGGTTCGAATCCCGGTGGAGGCACCAGAATTTGGGACCTGTCACACTGTGTTGTGTCCCTGGGCAAGGCACTTCGTCCAATGGGTACCTTAGAAGCGGATGTACGGACGCGAAGTGCTTAGTAGCTGCTTTGAAAGTACAATCCCGTCAGGGTAATAATGTAACGCCAGAGAACAGCATTGCGTTGGATTCTTGGCGCAAAAATTAGCATTGTTATTTATTATTATTATTATATTATTACTGCCAGTGATCCTAACGGACGCTGTAAGTAAGACTGGAAATTTCCATGTACATCTAGCCGTGTTTCGATGTGTAGAGCGTACAACTGTAATGATTTGTCAAACATTTATTTTCAGAACAATGCGTACTGTGTATAAGGAATACAATGCCAGTTTAAGCAGTCTGTCTCAATCTCCATATTCAGTCAAAATGGTCGTTTACCTGTGACGTTGACACACAAGTATCCTTATTAAATCCCAGAAGTCTGGGCTTATTGCTGGCCACGACATTATGTGGATGCTTGAGATGACCATTGGCGATTCTCGCCCGGCGTTTAAGTCGTGGTTGTCCTGAAAGATCGCCGCCATATAGCTGAAATATTGCTGAGTGCGGCGTAAAACTCAACTCACTCACTCACTCTATATTTTACCCATGAATATCCGGTTGGTCTTCAGTAACCCATGCTTGTCGTAAAAGGCGACTAACGGGATCGGATGGTCAGGCTCGCTGACTTGGTTGACACATGTTATAAGACATTGTATCCCAATTGCGTACATAGATGCTCATACTGTTGATCACTGGATTGCCTGGTCCAGATTCGATTATTTACAGACCGCCGTTATATAGCTTGAATATTGCTGATTGGAGGTGGATGTGATCTCCAGGATTCTCGCGAGAAGTCATCATAGGTCATGTTCCTGCTGTCGTAGATTCCCGTTGCCATAGTGCCAAGAGATGGCGATCTGAAATAACTGTTTGAAAAACATATTTGTAATGGTTTCTACACACTTCTTTAAAACAAAGAAATGAATATGCGATAATGAGATTGTTGATTTTGTATATTTTAGTAAATGCAAAAATCTTTATTGAACGATCTTACAAACATGTTCGTTAACTGGTCCAGAACATAAATGCAACTGTTTTAAACTTTTGTAGCTTCAAACTGCAATTTTATAAACACTGCATAAAATGGTGTCTAGAGATGGCGATCTGAAATGACAGTTTGAAAACTATATTTGTATTGATTTTACACATGAAAATCTGGATTAGAGCTGGTCTTCAGCAGCCCATGTTTGTCCTAAGCAGAGACCAAGGGGATCGGGTGGTCAGGCTGGCTGAGTGAGTGAGTGAGTTTAGTTTTACGCTGCACTCAGCAATATTCCAGCTATATGGCGGGGGTCTGTAAATAATCTAGTCTGTACCAGACAATCCAGTGATCAACAGCATGAGGTCAGGCTGGCTGATACTTGGTCGGTTCATGTAAACGTGATGTTAAATCAGTGGATTATCTGGTCCAGATTCTATCAACACACAGATAAGTGTGATGACGATGTCAGTTTAGCCACCACAAGTTACATAAATGACAATTACGGGTCAAGGAGAATACATATTTTATTCCCCAGATGTTCCAGTGGAATGAGAAACGTTTTGTCCTTTTTTATAACAAATCTACCATTGTCCTCTTCGTCGTAACGTCTCACAGACAAGTTTCACAGGCTCGCCTGTACACATTGAAGGAACAGAAACTTCGGTGGAAGTGGCAACACTGTGGGAATGTGTCACATGTTTTCGTGTCATGTAGCTGCCTCATTTAGCATCATGGTCCATATTCCACGACTTTCTCTACATCACGTTCCTCCATCACCAGAACATACATACTGCCGTTTTGAGGCGTGGTCTCTTTTTTAAGCCAAAGAATCAAGTGGCGGCTTCGTTCAAGCAAGAGAGTGAGTGAGTTGAATTTTACGCCGCTTTTAGCAATACTCCAGCAATATCACGGCGGGGGACAACAGAATAGGCTCCACACATTATACCCATGTGGGGAATCGAACCCAGGCCTTCGGCGTAACATCTGGGCTTCCACATCGCCTCAAGGGAGAGAAACGAGTTATCGCCCCTCTCACTCGCACAAACGGACGTAACTTTGTGATGTCTGGTACACTTTCATCAACACGCCGTGAACATAATTGAAATATTTGCTGAACGTTATATTTCAATAATTGTTTTAGAAAAAGACATTTGTCAGTGCATGTATTCACGGCTGATAGTACGTGGCATTTCCAAACCCGTAAAGTAATAACGACGATACGGTGTCTTTGGTCACGTTTCTTATGTCTCAAAGGGAGATAACTCCACATGCCTTCATACATAGGGCACTACCCCTTCGTGTTTTCTGGGCAGCATAGAAAACCATGTTGGGTTGGGATGCCTGGTCGTCCGTCGGTCACGTGGCACGCGACTATCTTTGCTTCCAATGGTTGCCATGGTAGCTGGAGGTGGATGTGATCTCCAGGATTCTCGCGAGAAGTCATCATAGGCCATGTTCCTGCTGTCGTAGATTCCCGTTGTCACAGTGCCTGGTGATGGCGATCTGAAATAACTGTTTGAAAAATATATTTGTAATGGTTTATTCATACTTTCAAAAACAAAATAAACGAATATGAGTTAACGAATTTTTTTATTTGTAATTGATTTAAGCATATTTGTAATTGATTCTACACACTTTAAAAAAAGAAAAAGAAATGAATATGCGAAAACGAGATTGTTGATTTTGTATATTTTAGTAAATGCAAACATTTCCATTCAACGATCTTAGTCACATGTTCGTTAACTGGTCCAGAACATAAATGCAACTGTTTTAAGCTTTTGTAGTTTGATACTGCGATTTCATAAAAACTGCATAAAAATAGTGCACAGAGATGGCGATCTGAAATGACAGTTTGAAAACTATATTTGTATTGATTTTACACATAACCATCTCGGTTAGAGCTGGTCTTCAGCAGCCCATGTTTGTCCTAAGCAGAGACCAAGGGGATCGGGTGGTCAGGCTGGCTGAGTGAGTGAGTGAGTTTAGTTTTACGCTGCACTCAGCAATATTCCAGCTATATGGCAGCGGTCTGTAAATAATCTAGTCTGTACCAGACAATCCAGTGATCAACAGCATGAGGTCAGGCTGGCTGATACTTGGTCGGTTCATGTAAACGTGATGTTAAATCAATGGATTATCTGGTCCAGATTCTATCTACACACAGATAAGTGTGATGACGATGTCAGTTTAGCCACCACAAGTTACATAAATGACAATTACGGGTCAAGGAGAATACATATTTTATTCCCAAGAAGTTCCAGTGGAATGAGAAACGTTTTGTCCTTTTTTATAACAAATCTACCATTGTCCTCTTCGTCGTAACGTCTCACAGACAAGTTTCACAGGCTCGCCTGTACACATTGAAGGAACAGAAACTTCGGTGGATGTGGCAACACTGCTGGAATGTGTCACATGTTTTCGTGTCATGTAGCTGCCTCAATTAGCATCGTGGTCCATATTCCACGACTTTCTCTACACCACGTCCCTCCATCACCAGAACATACATACTGCCGTTTTTAGGAGTGGTGTCTTTTTAAAGACAAAGATGGCGGCTTCGTCCAAGCAAGAGTTTGAGTGAGTGAGTGAGTGAGGTTTTATCCCGATTTTAGCAATACTCCAGCAATATCACGGCGGGGGACACCGGGAATGGGCTTCACACATTGTACCAATTTGGGGAATCGAACCCGTGGCTTAGGCAAGCGCTTCAACTTTGTGATGTCTGCTACTCTTTCATCGACCCGCCCCGTCCCTTCAAGAGGAAGAGCCCAGTTATCACACCCTTTCACAATGGGCCATAACTTTGTGATGTCTGCTACTCTTTCATCGACCCGCCGTGAATATAGCTGGAATATTTGCTGAACGCGGCGTAAAACCACGGTATCATTTAGTCCCGTATCCTCTATCTCAAAGGGAGATAACTCCACATGCCTTCATACATACGGCGCTACCACCTCGTGTTTCCTTGGCAGCATGGAAAACCATGTAGGGTTGGGCTGCCTGGACGTCCACCGGTCACGTGACGCGCGTCTATCTTTGCTTCCAATGGTTGTCATGGTAGCTGGAGGTGGATGTGATCTCCAGGATTCTCGCGAGAAGTCATCATAGGCCATGTTCCTGCTGTCGTAGATTCCAGTTGTCACAGTGCCAGGAGATGGCGATCTGAAATAACTGTTTGAAAAATATATTTGTAATGGTTTCTTCATACTTTCCAAACAAAAAGAAACGAATATGAGTTAACGAATTTTTTTAATTTGTATATTTTTGTAAATTCATTATTTTTATTGAACGATGACAGTCACATGCTCGTTAACTGGTCTAGTGTACAGATGTAACTGTTTTAAACTTTTGTAGCTTGGTACAGCAATTTTACAAAAAAAATGCACTAAGATGTCCTGAAAAGGAAAATGTATGTAAAGGCAGTACAACCATATACTTTGTGTGTTTGCTTTGTTTTGTTGCGTTTTGTTGTTGTTGTTGCTGTTTTACATTATGGGTCACAAAATATGCCATAGAGATTGTCCAGTGCGGGTTCTTCATGCCTTAGTAGTTTCTTGGTTGTTTAACACCCGACTCAGCAATATTCAGTTCTATGGCGGCATTGTGTAAATAATCGAGTCTGGACCAGACAAACCAGTGATCAATAGCATGAGCATCGATCTACGCAATTGGGATACGATGACATGTGTCAACCAAGTCAGCGAGCCTGACCACCCGATCTGGAATATTGCTGAGTGAGGTAAACAACAAACCAACAGGCCTGTGTTGATTTTCAGAAATATTCATATTGAATAGACTTAACCTAAATTCAACATTTACTGGTTTGTAATTGTTCACTGGCAGTAGTTATTTGACACAGCCTCCGGGTGTTTCATCTTTGCCTCTTATCTCATGGCCCAGCAGTTTTGGGGCAGTCGTGGGGGTTCCGACTTAGGTATCGTGCCTAGCAAAGGAATGGTGCCTAGTAAAGGAATGGCACCTAACAAAGGAATAGTACCTAGCAAGGGAATGGTACCTAACAAAGAAATGGTGCCTAGCAAGGGAATGGTACCTAACAAAGGAATGGTATCTAGCAAGGGAATGGTACCTAACAAAGAAATGGTACCTAGCAAGGGAATGGTACCTAACATAGAAATGGTACCTAGCAAAGGAATGGTGCCTAGCAAAGGAATGGTACCTAACAAAGGAATGGTACCTAGCAAAGGAATGGAACCTAGCAAAGGAATGGTACCTTACAAAGGAACCTTACAAAGGAATGGTACCAACAAAAGCAATGGTGCCTAAAAAGGAAAAGGAATGGTACCTTGCAAGGGAATGGTACCTAACAAAGAAATAGTGCCTAGCTAAGAAATGGTGCCTAGCTAAGGAATGGTGCCTAGCAAAGGAATTATACCTAGCAAAAGAATGGTGCCTAGCAGCCTATTAAATCGGGTGAACGCACACACGCCACACACATATATTCACACAAACTTGCAACAAACTCACACAAACGCGCACACACCTACAGGTTACACTACACCAAATCCGGATCCGTAGTTTAACAAGCACTTACTGTAGGGAACCTTCAGTGCAGACTGAATCATCTGACAGCTGTGATTGGGGGGATTTTGTGGAAGATTTTTTATTTTATTGTACATCCATCCGGTAATTGAACCAGACCATATTTTTCAATATTTAGTGCTGTCCTGTTTACACGATGACTTATACCGAATGTGACCACAGGTATTTCCAAGCGGTTGACATTTTGTGCGGAACTAAGGACCTAGCTGAGGTGGTCATATTTAATATTGTTATTGCTGTCTTTAAAGCCAGACTGTGCACACGTGTACATGTAATAGTTGTTGACATCATGGTAATTCTTACTATAGAAGTCAATAGGAAAATATTTGGTTTTGTGTAACCTATACAAGCGAAGAAGCCATAGCGACCAGTCGTCGTCCGTGAATCCCTGTAAAGAGTTACTTCCCCTTAGACTAGAAACCTGGTAAGCTGAGGCAATCAGGAGAATCCGAGGATTATAGTTCTGGTTTCTTGTAACAAAACATTCAAGCGACTTTAGGGACCCTTCATAATTTTCATGCGGTCATTTTGTAAATATATCACTCTCTCTGACTTAAGTTCTAATACACTTTTAAATCATTCAAGATTATGGCCTGATAAAAATGTTCATGATATTGGCAGCTTAATGATAAAACCCGTGTCATGCCGACAATATCTTATTCTCGTCTATTTTTGAAATCTTTTGCTAAGTTTCTACATTCAAATTTCGGGCTAGTGAATTATTTTGTGGCAAGAATAAGACACTAAACCTCCAACTTGACGTGAGTGGTTGAATGTTGTTCAGTGACGCAGTTATCAGTCTTACATTTATATCACGGGGCGAACCGAATCATTATACCTAACTTTTACCTTTTTAAAAAAAGTCATCCGAGCTAGAATAGGCCATGCGTGTTTGTAGGTGAATGAATGAATGCTGCTTGGCGCCGCAGTAGACAGATCACAGAAGTCTGTGGACTAGGACTGGGACGGGTAACCGGGATACCCGGGTCGGGTGGGTAATGAGTTGGACCCGGGTACCTGTCTCAATACCCGGACCCGTTAACATCATGTGAATAATAGATCAAACAATGTAATATGTTATTCTTTCCTGATTAAAAATTTAAAAGGTTGTATCGTCTTTGAAGATTTAGGCATAGGTTACACTCACTTCTTTTGATTATAATACATGGTTAGGATATTGAAAAACTCGAAGTTTTAGCCTCCGAACTGAAGAATATATTGCCATTTCTTGCAAATTTGATGTCAGGAATTAACATAACGGGTATCCGGGTAGGGTAGGGTAACAGGGGGTAGGGTACCCGGGTAGAAAATTTGGAACCGTCACAGCCCTTCTGTGGACCATGCAGACTGGAAGCAGTGGGCGAAATAGTTTCCAAATGTTCTAGCCAGTCCGACTAGCTATGCCTGAATGTTACTAGCCCACAAAATAAATCACTAGCCCGAAATTTGAATGTAGAAACAAAGCAAAAGATTACAAAAATAGATGAGGATAAGATGTTGTCGGCATGACACGGGTTTCATCATTAAGCTGCTAATATGATGAACATTTTTATCAGGCCATAATCTTGATTTGAGAGTGTATTATAACTTAACAAGACGGAGAGAATGATATACTCGTGGAAACAAATAAGTGAACACTTGAAAGGACAAGTGTTCCTTTATTCTTTTCCAGTTTTCTTCACAAAGTTTGTATTACACTGTTGATGAAAATATGGAAATAAATAAAGGAACGCTTGTACTTTCAAGTGTTCCCTTATTCGTTTCCATGAGTGTATATTTACATAATGACCCCACGAAATTTCACTAGACAGTCGGGCCAGTGACTGGAGATTTACTGGCCCGACTGATATTTACTAGCCACGGGCTAGCGGGCCACTGGACTGGAAGATGACAATGTTTGGTAATATGAGCAACATATCGCGTAATCGGGGGACACATACACAAAAGTAAACGAACAAGTCTATAGTGCCATTAACATATTTGGGCGGATATTTTAATAGAATTGTGTGCTCAGTTTTCGCTAAAACAAAATATTCCTCAAAATATTCATGATCGTTTTTTGGTTCAGTACACCACAACATGCCTGGTGTGTCGTAGTGTTCAAAGTCGTATGGATGTACGGCTTTGCTGGTTGTGTGCCTGTTTAACTCCGCGCCAAGTCTGTAAGTTCGAAAACGATCAAACTATTGCAAAAAATACTATTCCCACTTTGCTAAGGATCAAATCATGGATTCAACAGAAAACTATGATGTGGGGTCTAATTTGGTTTAAATATCTAAACTTATTGTAAGCATGGATCCTAGGTTTCAGTATGTCACTGCATCTTGTGGATCCCATACCTGCTATTGACAGGTGTTGTGTACTTGTCAATGACTCGTTCCATGATTTGCAAAATGGTTGATTGGTGCCATGAAAACAATTTCTATGGTTACTCATGTACCAAGTGCATAAGGATAGATTAAAGTGGCTGTTTGCCTAAAAAGGTGTGGCCATATCATTATTTATCCAGCTTTAAATGGATACAATTTCAAATTATAAATCTATGTTTAAGTGAGTGAGTGAGTGAGTTTAGTTTTACACCGCACTCAGCAAAATTCCAGCTATGGCGGCGGTCTGTAAATCTGGACGCGGTCTGGACCAGACAATCCAGTGATCAACAGCATGAGCATCGATCTGTGCAATTGGGAACCGATGACATGTGTCAACCAAGTCAGCATGCCTGACCACCTAATCCCGTTAGTCGCCACTTACGACAAGCATGGGTTACTGAAGGTTCATTCTAACCCGGACCTTCACGGGTTCTATGTTTAAGTAAAGTTGGGAAGTTTTGTGATCCAAAGTGTGAGTAGTATACTTCCAGTTAGGGAAAATGTCAAAGAGGCGAAAAAGGAAATCCACCTATTCATCGACTAAACCGATGGGTAAAAATCGAGGACCCCTGCAACCTTGGCGTTTGTTAGGAGGTTTTTCTTTGGTTGATTGGTTGGTTGGTTGCTAGAATGCTTGCATGCATGTTTGGATGTTTGTTTGTTTGGTTGGTTGTTTTTTCCAGCTATATGACGGCGGTCTGGACCAGACCCTCCAGTGATTTCATGAGGCTGGCTCCTCGCCCTCGAGGTACAATGATATGCAATAAGCCGCGTTACCGAGTCTTACATCCCGGGGGGGCGGTGGGGTAGCCTAGTGGTTAAGGCGTTCGCTCGTCATGCTGAAGAACCGGGTTTGATTCCCCACAGGGGTTCAATGTGTGAAGCCCATTTCTGATGTCCCCCGTCTTGATATTGCTGGAATATTGCTAAAAGCAGCATAAAACCAAACTCACTCACTCAGAACGCGCCATATTCATGTTACCTTTTTTCGGGGTGTGTTTGTTTCCGATCGCCTCGTCTCCAATAGTAAGCCGCACAACACATCAGTACAGCCAGAAACAAAAACACCAGCGCCGCAAGCCCCGCCCCCACCATGAGTGGGAGGAGGGTCAGGTCACCTGTCGTGGCAGATGTCACGGTCGTGATTGGTGGTGCAGCTAAAATAGATAGTTTCGGGAAAAAATGTATTTGAGAGGCCTTGGCGTACATCTATGCACAGGCAAATTGTAGCACAAATGGGGTTGCGCTACAAAGAGAAAAATACTAGTCTTCCTACTTGCGGGCGAAGCATATAGAAAGACTGGTCATTTTTCTCTCTGTTGCGCGACCCTATTTGCGCTACAGTTTGCCTGTGATCCTAGTCTGTCTCACAGTCCCTGAACAACATTATTTTCCCTACTGCCTAGCCCTCTCTGCAGTGCTAAAGCCCTAAATAAAGCAAGTCTAGATTTCCTCAGGTTCAGGGTCTGTTAACATCTGCAAGAAAACTAACTCACTTTGGGGGCCGGGTTACAAAGTAAACATATCTAACTATCATCTGAATCTCTGGTCTCCCTAGGGCTCCTTTTCAATATAAATGGGCTTGTTTGTTACTATCCAAATTATATATATTCAGAGACTAAGCCTTAGTCTACTGTGATCCATGCAGGAGGCGAGCCGCAGACACCTTTTGCATGGTTACCCGCTCAAAGAGAGATACATTGTGTTACATCTTCGGTTAAACAGGGCGTTATAGCTTCGTTCTTTCGTTATAAATACCCTTGACCCATTTGCCACTGTAGCTTTGGTACGCCAATAAGGACACGGAGCTGTTGAAAAGAGGATGGTATCCCGATATTCGAGAATTCAGAGGCAAGTGCCATCTGGAGAGTTTATATATTATTTAATATTGAATGTGCCTCAAAACGAACATATGAAAGTCTAATGAATCATGTACCTCGAAAATTCTCCATTTACCTAAGAAAAGCATTTGGTTGTAATTCAATCGCCCAAAGAAAACTAGTTGTTGACACGGCCATGTTTCTATGACAGCACGCATGCGCGAATATATCCAGAAATGCATTCGTCAACACTAGGCCCTTTCCATAACCTGCAAAAAGACTCGTGCCCCTATCGATGGAAGATCTGAGCCAAAACACGACAAAACCAATCAAAATGATCGCAGTAATTCAAGTACCTCGGTCAAAGAATTCTTCAGGAATAATCTTTGATGCATTTTGTATCTGTAAATAAACCCAAGAGGCTGATATTTGAGTTTAATCATACTGTATGACAGCTTAAGTCCCATTTGTTGTAAATAGCATCTGCAATATGTACACTATAAGGAGGATATATAACACATTAGTCCCTCGGGGTCACATTTCTCTTATTTGTCGGGGCGGTAGGGTAGCCTTGTGGTTAAAGTGTTCGTTCATCACAGCGAAGGCACGGGTTCGATTCCCCACATGGGTACAATGTGTGAAGCCCATTTCTAGTGACCCAGATATTGCTGGAATATTGCTGAAAGCTGCGTGAAACCATCCTCACCAACTCACTCTTTAAGTTGTGTCCGTTTGTCCATACACGGAACCCAATCGCCAAAGAAAAAACCGGGAGAGGGGCATGATTCGCTTTCTGGCTTGACCCGGAAAAACACGCCTTGGTCACGAATGCCAGACTTACACAGACCTGCCTCTGTAATTTGTCTAAAGCCGCCACTTTTTCAGTTTGGAGCCCGTTGAGTGAGTGAGTTTGTTTAGTTTTAGGCCGCTTTTAAATAGCAATATTCCAGCAATATCACGGCGGGGGACATCAGAAATGGGCTTTACACATTGTACACATGTGGGGAATTGAACCCAGGCCTTCGGCGTGACGGGCGAACGTTTTAACCAACGTTTAAAACCACCGCCCCTGGGACCCGTTGCGTTACCAGCATGACAATATAATGTAATTATAAAATGATGACACTCATATTTGAAAGGCTCGCGTTACTTACGGGTACTCCTCGGTGTCGGAACGCATCTTGGCAACGGTTTGTCCCACGAGCCGTTGCTAAGACACGTGATCACATTGTCACCAATCAGTGTGTAGCTGGGAGCCACGAAGCAGGTCACGGTCACCCTAGTTCCGGGGTCACGTTGGTACGTGCTGACAAGGACGTCATCAATGTTGTTTGCCGTGATGATGATGGGCGGGGGAGGTTTTGCTAGCTCTGGACACAACATCTGGTCTGTAAAATACATGCTAGACACATATGAAAGATGTCAACACTCGGAGCAGACAATTTTACATGAGTGAGTTTAATGTTACTCCGCATTAAGCAATATTTTAGCAATATCACAGCGAGGGACACCATAAATGGGCATACACTTTGTACCCATGTGGGGAATCGAACCCGAGTCTTCAGCGGGTCGAGCGAACGCTTTAACCATTAAGCTACCCCACCGCCCCAGGTTTACATGAGATGATGTTGGAGACGGACAAGACTGATTATTATTCTGATCGCGTTATTGAAGGTTACAACCTTCACCTCGCAGATCCAACTCAGTCAGAGACGAAACAAGGAAGGGACGGGTCATATTACAGGGTTGGTTGCAGAGGTTTCGGATGTACTGATGTACTGAATACAATTTACCCTTCTCTAGCGCGTGCCTTATTTTTATTAAGATTTGGTGGGTTGGTTTATAGTTTAACATAGCACTCAGCAATATTCCAGCCATATGGCGGCGGTGTCTAAATAATCGATTCTGGACCAGACAATCTAGTGATCAACATCATAAGCCTCGTTCTACGCAATTGGTATACGATAACATGTGTCAACCAAGTGAGCGGACCTGTACTTTTATAGGACCTTCCCATTGTCCCGGTACATGTCATTCATAACCCTCACCAAATATGTCTATCATGTTTACGTCCCTCCCTGTACCCATGAAGATCCGGGTTAGAATTGGTCTTAGCAACCAATGCCTAATAAGAGGCGACTACGGGACCAGGTGGTCAGGCTTGCTGACTTGGTTGACATATGTCATGGTATGCTAACACTGACTGAGTATGGTTTTACGCCGCTTTTAGCAATATTCCAGCAACATCACGGCGGGGGGACACCAGAAATGGGCTTCACACATTGTACCCATGTGGGGATTCGAACCCGGGTCTTCGGCGTGACGACCCGACGCTTTAACCACTAGGCTACCCCACCGCCCCTGGTATGCTAACAGTGTAGATCGATGCTCGTGATGTTGATCACCGGATTGTCTGATCTAGACTCGAATATTTACAGACTGTATGCAGCGATAAACAACAAACTAACAAAACCCAAGAGACAGTTATATTGTTTGGTCACCCTCCCTGCCATTCTCTTCCCACATAGGTTACTCAAGTCATATCTCCCACATAAACTCTGTCCTAATACGGCCATATTTCCCTATTCTTGTAAAATCCCCTGGCGGCAAAAAATCGCAACACGAATTATCTCCCTTCTTTCTATCCAACCAGAACATGCGTTACATCGACCAATATGGCGGCCGTCATGGAGTTAGTTGATCAATATGCGAAGGATAGATTCGATTTTTCATGTTTAACTGAAAATCAGAAACTAGCAATAGAAAGTGGGGCCACAAATATCCCTCCTCTGACAATGACTTATGTTGTGACACTCAAGACATTTAATGGCTAGCTTGTACGTTGTCAACGAGGGCGATGGAGACGCCCCGCCATTACATGACTGCGTTCTGTCTAGAAGAAACGTTTGCGCATGGCGCAGGGAAAGAAGGTCTAGTTTTCCCGAAGCGTACGGAAATTACCGAGGCTTTGCGAATGATCACTTTTGAAACAACGTCGCTGATTGCACAACAAAATCTGATTGCAACAAATCACGAATCCTGAACACTCGCACCACGAAAAGGCCGTATTAGAACAGAGGTTCGTAGGAAGATATGACTTTAGTAACCTCTGTGGGAAGAGAATGGGTGAACCTGGACGCTACATTTAGCAATAAATAAACGATATTGAAGTATTGCTCCAGAAGTGATTGAGTGAGTTTAGCTTTACGCCGCTTTTAGCAATATTCCAGCAATATCACGGCGGGGGAAACCAGAAATGGGCTTCACACATTGCACCCATGTGGGGAATCGAACCAGGGTCTTCGACGTGACGACCGAACGCTTTTACCACCAGGCTCCTACCGGAACGCTCCAGAAACGGACTTTACATGTAAAACCATTTAGTTAATCGAACGCGAAACTTCAATTTGACCAGCTAATCCATTAAGCACGAGGCCTCCTGTCACCCAAAATGGGGAAGTGAATTGTTTGTTGCTGGGAGAACGGTTCTTCAGAAATATCTGGACGTACAGTTCATCAGCTTTGTGTAGGATTTTACGCCGCTTTTTGCAATATTCGAGCAATAAGACGCCTTTCAATCTGTTATGGTGAAGATGTGGAGTGAAATTGGGTTTAACGTCGCACTTAAGAATATTTCGCTCATATAACGACGTGCATACGTGTGTATGTGTGGTTGCTTGTACTAGCCCAGACTTAAGCTGGTTTTATAGTGCTAGCTCACTGAGATACCATGCCGCAGTGAAGCATGAATACCCCACTCAGACACATCATACTGACTCCGAGCCGACCAATGCTTATTGTACCCATAAATACCGAGCGCTAGACAGGGACCATATCTAAACATCTTTTGATATGACGCGACCGGGGATCGAACCCGCGACCTTCCACTCTCCGGGCGGACGCTCTAACCACTACACCACGGAGACGGCCTATGTTGAATAAAAAACTTTGGTTAACATAACTACACCACAGGATGAATATCAACACTTTCTCCAATTAGATTAGTGACATTTCAAGCCTTCTACCTAATTTCCTAATGGAAACATAGAAACAATAAGATATAGTAAAGAACATGACGATTTATTGAGATCAAAGAGTCCCAGTTTGTGCTAAACTCCAGATTTGATGGCTTTGCTGCTGTCTGAACAAACTGCCGTACGTAAATATTCAATAACACAATGTTGAAGATATTGATTTGGAAATAAAACAGGTACGGAACAATTTTTTAACTTTTTAGAACAAAATTAACAAAGGTCCAGTGTTCGCAATGTTTTTTCTGTGTTTGGTGTTACGTAATACACGATTACAACGACTCTTTGTCCGCGTGGATCCCTACATCCAAACACCATGAGACATCATAAACCGTACATAAGGGTCCTGGGGTTTCGCGAAATATATTCATAGACATGTAAATTTGTTCGCACGGTATTGCCCTGAATGTCAAAAACTTGATATTTGTTAGTCTCGGGAGGCGCTACTTCCGGAACTAAGCTGGATCCCGGCTCCCTTTGCTCGCGTCAACTTGCGATACGCGAGACGGGCCCAGCTTACTTCCGGTACCAGATTTCCGGTGACAATCGTATATTCAAGAACAAGTTCTGGTTCCAAATTGCGCGACCGCCAAATATGACTTTAGGAGACAGGACCGAGTATACAACCACAGCTGTTCACAGTCGTAATAGTTGGCTAATCTGGGGGTGCTATTCCTGCAAGGATCATCGGTTCCTTACTGTCAACTGACAACCACGAGACCATTCAAAAAGGAATTAAACGTTGTTTGGTCACCGGAAGTACTAAATAACGTAAGGTCTCGCGAAGTGCCGTGACCTACTTAAGGTCCTATTATACTTTCAAAGTAAAGTACAGATTCTAGTTCTTACAAATATATTCTTTTTACGTTTGACCACTCTCTGAAATGCATTGAATATTCATAGTTTTCGGCCTTGGCAGCCGAGCCAATTTACACTTGTCATAGAGGTACACAATGTAGAAAGGGTCGATGCTATGGCGCTCAGAAACGACAGGGTGTACGAACAGATATCCACAGCACTGTAACAGCATGGTCTTTATGATTTCCATTCTGAACTGTGCGATTATGTTCATTTTGACACGACGTTTCTTTTTCGGAATTTCGATCAAACCATACACTTTTTCTGTGTGATACTTTGCTTGAACATTCCAAGGGGAACGAGAGTGAGTGAGTGAGTTGGGTTTTACACCGCTTTTAGGAATATTCCAGCAATATTACGGCGGGGGACACAAAAAATGGACTTCACACATTGCACCCATGTGGGGAATCGAACCCGGGCCTTCGGCGTGACGAGCGAACGCTTTAACCACTAGACTATCCCGCCAAGAGGAACGACCTTTCCAGACCAGGTGAGCTAAAATTGTACCGTCCAGAGACCTTACACCTAATCAAACTGGAATCAGATCTGTTAAATCTGTTACTCTACGTGAGGTCAATAAACTTCGAGGACTAAGCTGGACTACAACAGCTGGTTGTGACTACATACGAACATCTGTCATCGTTGTGTCTAACCTGAGCCAAGTACTTGGGAAACTTACGAGCCTGACAGCCGCATGCCACACGCCAGCACACAGGTCATGACACGGGTCATAGACAAGGTCACCCGACAGACACATGGTATTTCCTTCCCACAACACCCGTGCCCGTTGTTACACTAACGTGATAAACGTCTCACACCTACATTACTTCGGGATTTTCTCCCACTTCATGCAGACACGCTGTAACATAACTAATATCGTGTTCGTTCGTTCGTTCGTTCGTTCGCGGGCGGTCGGGATAGCCTAGTGGTTGAAGCATTGGTTCATCACGCAGAAGGCTCGGGTTCGACTCCCCTCATGAGTACAGTCTGTGAAGCCCATGTATGGTGTCCCCGGTCGTGATATTGCTATGGAATTGCTAAAAGCGGCGTAAAACCATACTCACTCACTCACAAACAAACAAACAAACAAACATTACTCTCCAGCAGTCCTTTGACAGTCGACAATACGTCAAACAGTGGAAACAGTTACTGAGTTTGAACAGAACGGCTTGTAGTGCTTCCAGCTTACAAACAGCCTCTACTAGTGGTAAGAAGCGACTAAATTGATCGTGTGGGCAGCCTCGGAGACCGACTCGATTGCGTGTCGACGGTAATCGTTGTTCACAATATCGATCATTTCATTGTCTGATCGGGTTTGATTATATATACCATTCAAAAGAAGTAGAGAATATTGCATTTTGCGAGCATACCATTAGCCAATGCCAATGCATGTGAGAAAAGTAATACATGTATATATTCATACAGATGGAACATTTAAAAAAGAATGGAATAAATTGTTACATTTTCCCTTAATTTCTCTTCATCATCTGTTTCCTCCTTGGCTTCATCATTTGCATTTTATCAATCTTGTGAATCCAATATCCCCTACTTTCTTTGGATGATATATATATAACGCAATCATTGGTGACTATTGGGGCTTAACAAAACGTAAGGACTGAGTCTGACTGAATCTGGTTTCTGAATCAGCGGATCATGACTTGGCAATGGGAGATAACTATGCAAGTGTAAAGTAGGGACCAAATCTAGGATTCCAACCAACGACCACCGTATTAGGAAGGTTCAATACGTACAGTGTTGGAGCGTCTACTGGTAGATGATTAGTTGTCAAAACAAGCGCTGGACAATACACTCCATGGGGTGTTGTTCAGGTCACGTGGTCAACGTCAGCAACGTCTGAGCACCGCGACGTCACATTATACTCCAGTATATTTGCGTTACTCACTGACTGTCTCACAAATGTAGTACATGTCCATCTCACATGGAAACACGTGCGTTACTCGCTGACTGTCTTGCAAACGTGGTATATGTCCATCTCAGGTGGGAACCGGCGGTAATATAGTCGCTGACAGTCTCTCCCACGTCGAATATGAACATCTCCCGCAAGGAAGCCATTAAAATTAATTTACTGTCAGAGGGCAATTTAAGACGCTCGCGTTCAGCTACAAGGCTGTCTTGACGGAGACATATGTCAGCATACACGAATTAACATCTTGACGGCAATACAATGCAGGGCATCCGTGCGTGTCCCTGCGACCGGGAAAGACAAATTATTTTTGCTATATTAAAGGTAGCATGACTGTTAGTGAGTGATTTTAGTTTTACGCCTTTTAGCAATATTCCATATTATTTTAGCACTATCACAGAGGGGGACACCAGAAATTGGCTTCACACATTGTACCCATGTGGAGAATCGAACCCGGGACTTCGGCGTGACGAGGGAACGCTTTAACCACTAGGCTACCCCACCGCCCCATCATAAACGAGGGAGTATGTCAAATATATATATGGAACATTAACGGTGTCTCAGATGTCTTCAGGGTGGCACCGTCCAATTTGCTGTGAGGAGTTGTGTCCCTTCTGCACGCCAGGAACCTCTTATCGACGGAGTCTTAGCTTAGTGGTTAAAGCTCTTGCTCGTCACGCCGAAGGCCCGGGTTTGATTCCCCACATGGGTACAATGTGCGAAGCCCATTTCTGATGTCCCCGTCGTGATATTGCTGGAATATTGCTAAAAGTGGTGTAAAACACAACTCACTCATTCACCCTAATCAACGGTTCGAATCCCCATGCCCCCTGGTTGTACTCAAAGGTTTGTCGGTACAACACCTGTGCTTGTTGTACATGTCGAACACCTGCCTAGCTTCCTGATGTTTTACCACGTCACTGGTACACTGTTCAAAGAGGCGTGGGGCGGTGGGGTAGCCTAGTGGTATTCGCTCGTCACGCCGAAGACCCGGGTTCGATTCCCAACATGGGTACAATGTGTGAAGCCCATTTCTGGTGTGCCCCGCCGTGATATTGCTGGAATATTGCTATAAACGGCGTAAAACCATACTCACTCACTCACTCAAAGTAGCGTTAAACTCACTCTCACGGAACATCTTGGTGTCGTTGATGAAAATATTCCAGTTACATACAAGATGTTAACTTGAAGACTGAGCTGAACGTCAAGCCAGTTAAGACCTTTAAACATGGACTGATTCTAGCATTACCATGCGTCCATACGAGAATGAGTGAGTGAGTTTAGTTTTACTCCGCACTCAACAATATTCCAGCTATATGGTGGCGGTCTGTAAATAATCGAGTCCTGACAAGACAACCCAGTGATCAACAGTATGAGCATCGATCTACGCAATTGGGATACGATGACATGTTTCAACCAAATCAGCGAGCCTGACCACCCGATCCTGTTAGTTGCCTTTCACGACTAGCATGGGTTACTGAAGATCAATTCTACCCCGGATCTTCACGGGTTCCATACACGATGTTAACAATGTAGCAGGGCGTGGAGTCACCCTACAGATGACATCCTTACCTTGTCAGCTTTCTCACGGGGTTAACACCTTTGACAAGGCGTCCGACTTCGGATCAGAAGGACCGTAGTTCGACGCATGACCACGAGGTCAGACAAGGTAAGGATGTCATCTGTGGGATGTCTCTGGGCCCTGCTACATTAATCCCAAACTGTACGTCAAGCCAGCTTAGACCTTTAAACAGGGACTGATTCTAGCATTACCAGGCGTCCAGACATATCGCTATGTTTTATGAAAAGACACAAACTGCAATAATCAGACACAATACTCCAGTTGTCTCCCTTGAGTGATACATCAATCACGTGTTCACAAGTGACGTCGTAATCTGACGTCAAACTGACATATGTCACCAAGGTTAACCAAGGTTGTCAGTCTACACTCGCTGGAGCTCTTTTTCACAGCGTATTGTATGACAAATATCAACAGGAGAGAATATATATACTGTTCAAAAAAGGGAGGAATAAATATCAACTTACAGTTTTAAACATGAACACAAAAGTTCTTATCATGAATACTTGTGAGGATGTATTTTTGTAGAGAATACTGAAAAGAGCGGTGAAATTTGATATACATTCCCTGGGGATGTTTTCCATAATACGTAATATTCTATGTAACACTTTTTAGTTGATATCATTTTCAAGGGATACTATTTCCAAGGGTAATCTCACATGAATACATTAATATACTTTCCTCCGTAAACTATTTGCAAACATCAACTCTTATTAAAGGCGTTTTTCTCCTCAAAGATCTATGGAGTGAGTGAGTGAGAGTTTTTATCAATATTCCAGCAATATCACGGCGGGGGGACACCAGAAATGGGCTTCAAACATTGTACCCATGTGGGGAATCAAACCCGGGTCTTCAGCGTGAAGAGTGAACACTTTAACCACTAGGCTATCCCACCACCCTATTTGTGATTTAATGGTTCGCTACTGAGAACGACATTAGAGAAAACGACCCGGATCTTCGGCGCTTTAACCAATGACATGTTTCAACCAAGTCAGCGAGCCGGACCACCCGATCCGTTAGTCGCCTCTTACGACAAGCATGGGTTACTGAAGATCAGTTCTAACCAGGATCTTCACGGGTCCGTTTCGTGCAGGAAGTAGATAATCAGTTGCCATGGTAACCAGTTAGGGAGTTTTACTTTGCTAGGTGTCTGATTCTAGTAATTCAATATTAACAACTAATGATGTATAAAATGTTTTAAATTCGGCGTTTGATACTTATGAACCCCTTTCACTGTCGTTAGTTCCCGTGACTATATCACTGAAATATTGCCACTCACTCACTCACATCACTCACATCACTCACTCACTCACTCACTCACTCACTCACTCACTCACTCACTCACTCAAGAAACCTCACATCACTCACATCACTCACTCACTCACTCACTCACTCACTCACTCACTCACTCACTCACTCAAGAAACATCTTTCGGCTCACCTCAATCCAAAAAGTCACTTCTGCCAGCACTTGGAGCGATCCATTTTTGAAACGGAGTCACTAGATCACGTCACTATCACATTCCATTCCACAAGAAGGACGAATTGCCTCAAAATGGGCCAAAGTTGAAGTCACGCGGATCGCCCAGTACTCGATTTACAGGAAAATCGTGTGTTGTGCAAAATTGTACCACACTCAATCCTGAAGGGTAGAGACAATCCTCAGCTCACCTCAATCCAAAATGTCGCCTCGGACAGAACTTGAAGGAATCCTTCCTAAAAATAGAATCTCTAGTTTCAATCGTTCACGTGACTATATAACACAACACAGCAGTGACGATTTGGACCGTTAAGTTCAACCGACTGGGATCGGTCTGTATTCGATTAACCTTGAAACCGTGCGATAGGACTCCACTGATGCAGGTAACGGAATAATCCAATTACTGCGGAATTCTTTGAACAACTTGCAACAACAACAGGTTTAATCACAAAGTCTTCGAATATGATGATTCATCTGATTGGTGCCACTGTCGAGCAGACTACAATTGAAACATTTTTGGCACTGATTGGAATTCCAGAGAACATCTTTATCTTCGAGCCTGGTAACAAACCTGATATAGGCTGTCTACACGAGGTCATCCTTACACATGGTCTGAAATTTCATAGTTTCACTCATTTACGTGACTTTCACTTAACACAACGATGACGATGTCGGATTTGGCCGAAACGTTACACCAACTAGGAACGGTCTGTACTCGATTTACGTTGAAATCGTTCAATATGATTCCTCCAAATCTTCCTGAAGGCTTATGCAGGTGACGGAGTAAGCTGCGTGACGCTGTATATTTTGAACAACAAGTTACAACTGCTGCAAGTATCCGGGTTCGACAACATCCAAGTGCTCGCATTTGATAACCCAAAGGAACGGAACCGATGTCGATCAGACTACGATTTGAGGATCCTTGAAAATGTCTGATTCACTTTTCCATAGGACTTCGTCATCTTCGGCCCGCCCTCTGTCAGGTTATATTCAACAATGTCCTACACGACCACCTTGCCTGACTCCAAATCACGCCAAGCACTCTCCCTTTAAACTGGCCATGTTTACGAATGCTATGTACAACTAAGGTATATATGTCCCTTTCTGTTGGAGGGGAATCTCACGACAGTGCGTCCCGAAATATATACGCCTCAGTGACTCGTCGCTCGACGGCAGGTCACGTGACTGTGACTCACAGCTGTCTAAACCCTATAGTATTTTATTGTGAGGCTTTATATAATAATTGATTTCCATCTTTACAGTGGAAGCTGTGATAGATGTCAATCGAAGAATGTGTTAGATTTTCAACAGCTGGGCGTGTACGTTGACAGCTTGAAGTGGTGGATTGAAAGCAGGTCGTTTGTTTGGGCGTATATGATATTACGAGCTAGCGAGCTGGCCAGTCTCTAATTTGTAGGTTGATAGGTGTTATTTTACGCAGCGGTATTCAATATATCTGTTATATCAGGCCGTCTCCCTGTAATTAATCTGAGAAAGTGAGTGAATTTTAGTTTAGCTTTCAGCAATATTCCAGCAATATCAGGGCGAGAGACACCAGAAATGGGCTTCACACGTTGTATCCATGTGGGGGAATCAAACCCGGGTCTTCAGCGTGAAGAGTGAACACTTTAACCACTAGGCTATCCCACCACCCCATTTGTGATGTAACGGTTCGCTACTGAGTACATTAGAGAAAACGACCCTACAACAGAGAACGACATTAGAGAAAACGACCCTACAACAGAGAACGACATTAGAGAAAACGACCCTACAACAGAGAACGACATTAGAGAAAACGACCCTACAACAGAGAACGACATTAGAGAAAACGACCCTACAACAGAAAATTGTGAAGGTAAAGGAGAAAACAATAACATAGAAAGTTTTGAATAAGTTTTGTGTAAATGCTGGTTGACACATGCCATCGGTTCCCAATTGCGCAGATTGATACTCATGCTGTTGATCATTAGATTATCTGGTCCAGACTCGATTATTTACAGACCGCCGCCACATAGCTGGAATATTGCTGAGTGCGGCGTAAAAGTAAACTCACTCACTCACTTGTGTAAATGCACTGAATGATCAGACAAAACTGTGATTGTTGTGAAACACAACAACCCAAGCAGATGGCCTATGGTAGAGTTCAACAAGGCAACAAGCTTGACCTCTAGATCTGCAAGTTTGACAAACACCTCTCACACGTAATAATAATAATAATGTGTCCATTTATATAGCGCCAAACTCCACACTATAAATTCTTTTGTAGGTATGCTCATAGCGCTGACAATCAAGGCACAGCACATTATTACCCCTGATAACCCAAGATGCCTGTTAGGCGCTAGAAGGTTATAGTCATATGACTTTTTTCCCACCAGGTACCCATTTTCCTGCTGGGTGAACAGAGACAATTTTGAAGGTGAGACCACATGTGTCACATGTGCTTCGTTGTGGGGCAGGACTCAAGTCCTAGAAACTCTCAGGAGTCAAGCTGCCAAACACAGTCACCCATCCAAGGACTCTCGGAGCTCGACGCTGCTTAACTTCACCGATTTGTGACCTGAGCTTTGAGCATAGGACCAAGCGCCGCCACTCGCCCGATTGCAAAGGGAAGGTTGGTCTTGAGTCAAATGGATGGTAAAATATTTGCTGTAGTTTATTACCATATCAGATGAAGTATCCACTTCATGACCTGGCATGGTGAGTGAGTGAGTGTAGTTGTACACAACTTTTAGCAATATTCCAGCAATATCACAGCGGGGGACACCAAAAATGGGCTTCACACATTGTACCCATGTGGGGAATCAAACCCGGGTCTTCAGCGTGACGAGCGAACGCTTTAACAATTAAGCTACCCCACTGCCCCAGTTTTACATGAGATGAGGTAGCTGATGTTGGAGACGGATAAGACTGATTATTATTCTGATTGCGTTGTTAAAGGTTACGACCTTCACCTCGCAGATCCAAGAAGGAAGGGACGATTACAGGGTAGGTTGCAGAGGTTTCAGATGTACTGATGTACTGAATACAGTATACCCTTCTCTAGCGCGTGCCTTATTGTTATAGGATTTGGTTGGTTGTTTTGTTGCTTAACATAGCATGAAGAGTGAGTGAGTGAGTTTAGTTTTACGCCGCACTCAGCAATATTCCAGCTATATGGCGGCGGTCTGTACAATATCGAGTCTGGACCAGACAATCCACTGATTAACAGCATGAGCATCGATCTGCGCAATTGGAAACCGATGACATGTGTCAACCAAGTCAGCGAGCCGGACCACCCGATCCCTTTAGTCGCCTCTTACGACAAGCATGGGTTACTGAAGACCAATAATCTAACCCAGATCTTCACGGGTTAGCATGAAGAGCAAACGCTTTAACCACTAGGCTACCCCACTGCCCGATCTGGCATGGGTTGCACATGACTTACCTGGATGTGAGGAGTATTGGATTTCAAATCAGAACAAACCTTCCGTCATATGCTTATTGTATGTGGTGGGAACATGGATACATGTGGTTTGGTCTGGAGTGAGTGAGTTATTGTTTAACGTCACATCGGCAATATTGCAGCCATATCGTGACGGTTTGGCCTGGAATGGGTTGATAGTGTCATCATAGCCTGAGAGCCTGCATGGTAATGTTGCTCATTATATCGATCACTGGTTTGTCCGGTCCAAACCTGATGTATACAGTTGGAGGTCATACTGTAACATTACTGTTACAAGTTACCACCCTCCTTTCTGGTAAACCCTTGAAGATCCGGGTTAGAATTGATCTTCATTAACTCATGCTTGTCATAAGAGACAGCTGTATTATCATCATCACTGCATATAATTGTCAACCCATCAAGGTCATCAGCAACACATGGGTGCGACAATGGAATTGGGTGGTCAGGCTCGCTGACTTGGCTGACACGTGTCATCGGTTCCCACTTGCGCAGATCGATGCTCATGCTGTTGATCACTGGATTGTCTGGTCCAGACTCGATTATTTACAGACCGCTGCCATATAGCTGGAATATTGCTGAGTGCAGCGTTAAACAAGAAACCAACCAGAGACCGAACCAACCAGAGACCGAACCAACCAGAGACCAAACCAACCAACCATACTAGGAAATAAGTTCCACACAAAGGTGTAAGAAAACCCCCATCAGTACATCAGTCACCACTAAGCTGGAGAATATATATTTATTTCCCAAAAAAATACAATGGACCAGTATTTTGCATAGGAGTAACCATGGCAACATCACACAAGCACTTGTATATGTTGTACACACACCACTAAATGTACACAAAGACAAATCTATTGGCTGAGATATACCTCATCAATGGCATGCTGTACACAACTACCGCATCAGAAAACAGAAATGCACATGCCCTAAATACCTGTACTGATACTACTATTAATGAGATTTTGTCCAGCAGCCTCTATTAAGAAATATTCCACTCGTCACACCTGTCTACAATGAAACCTTGTTAATCCAGACTGTACCTTTCTGGAGAATTATTACTGTTATCATGGACATTATCATAATTATAATAGTAGCAGTGGTGGTCGTAGTAGTAGTAGCAGAAGTAGTAGTAGTAGTAGTAGTAGTGGTGGTGGTGGTCGTAGTAATAGCAGTGGTGGTCGTAGTAGTAGTAGCAGTGGTGGTGGTGGTCGTAGTAGTAGTAGCAGTGGTGGTGGTGGTCGTAGTAGTAGTAGCAGTGGTGGTCGTAGTAGTAGTAGTAGTAGCAGAAGTTAGTAGGAGTAGTAGTGGTGAGTGAGTGAGTGAGTGAGTGAGTGAGTGAGTGAGTGAGTGAGTGAGTGAGGTGAGTGAGTGAGTGAGTGAGTGAGTGAGTGAGTGAGTGAGTGAGTGAGTGAGTGAGTGAGTGAGTGAGTTTAGTTTTAAGCCACTTTTAGCAATATTCCTGCAACATCACAGCTGGGGACACCAGAAATGGGCTTTACGCATTGTACCCATGTGGGGAATCGAACCAGGGTTTAGGCTGCCCCACCGCCATAGTAGTAGTAGTAGTAGTAGTAGTAGTAGTAGTAGTAGTAGTAGTAGTAGTAGTAGTAGAAGTAGTAGTAGTAGATTTGTATGGCCCCTATACCTCACTGGATATCAGGTACAGAGACTTGTTACATCATTGGATACGCTGCATACAATCAGTGTTCACATGATTTCATTCTCCACTCCCTGGGAAGTATACAACCCAAGCTGCCTGTGGGGTGCTAGAAGCCCTATTACAAACTCATCCCACAAGGTACCACATTCACTGCTGTAAACCAACCGAAAAATGGGACAAGTCATGTCATATTTTAACCGTATGGAACTAAAAATTTAGTTTGAAATACCACTTCTGTATTTGTTTAAAACTGACTGACTGACTGAGTTTGGCTTTACGCCACTTTTAGCAATATTCCAGCAACATCACGGCGGGGGACACCAGAAATGGGCTTCACACGTTGTACCCATGTGGGGATGTAATTGCTTAAAACGAAATTACATATTTAGGAGAAATCTGTATAAATTGGATATGTGTTTACACAATTTTATGAATTGAGTATGTCCGGCAAACAAGTATTTTTAGGCTAAAGTTTTGCCTGCGCATTTTTAGACTGAGTTAAAATATTACAGCACCTGGGACGTCAAATGATCCCAAATGAGGATTTGAGAGTGACTACTTATTGTCCAGTAAGAGGGTGTCCAGATTCCCAAGGTCCAGACTATGAAGGTCTGGGCTTTCCCCTATACATGTTAGTCAACCAACAGCACTTCCAAAAACCACCCAATCAACATCTAAGACACAGTATTTAGTGAGTTAATGTTTAACATCGTATCAGCTATGCACGAAAACACAGCTTTGTTTTTTACTGTTAAGAAAATTAATTTTCATACACAAATTTTTAGACTTTCCTTACTGGGTAATGTTATTCTATTTCCTAAGTTTCAGTTTGTAATCATTACAAGGTCAGTATGTCACAGGCATGTATTTACATGCGTGAATTATACTACTCACACTTTGCTAAGGATCACAAAAAATCACAACTTTACTTAAATGTAGATTTATAATCTGAAATTGTATCCATTTGATATTGAATAAATAATGTAATGGTAACTCTCTTTAGACGAACAGCCACTTTAATCTATCCTTATGCACTTGATACATGAATAACCATAGAAATTGTTTTCATGGCACCAATTAACCATTTTGCAAATCATGGAACGAGTCATTGACAAGTACACAACACCTGTCAGTAGCAGGTATGGGATCCACAAGATGCAGTGACATACTGAAACCTAGGATCCATGCTTACAATAAGCTTAGATATTTAAACCAAATTTGACCCCACACCATAGTTTTCTGTTGAATCCATGATTTGATCCTTAGCAAAGTGTGAATAGTATAAGTAAGGAACATCCAGTTTGTCAACCACACTATGTGTGAACTATCATTCTAATTTTGAACACTTCAAGACGATTGTGAAACATGTTTTTAAAATTTTAATTTGAAAAAAGGGGGATGGGGACATCTGAACGGAAATAACACAAATAAACCTCAAGGTTGTTAATGGGATTCAAACCCAGACACAGAAATGCCTGAAGGAAGCCTCATATGTGCCCAAGTGGGATTCAAACCCAGACACACCTGAAGGAAGCCTCATATGTGCCCAAGTGGGATTCAAACCCTGACACAGACACACCTGAAGGAAGCCTCATATGTGCCCAAGTGGGATTCAAACCCAGACACACCTGAAGGAAGCCTCATATGTGCCCAAGTGGGACACAGACACACCTGAAGGAAGCAAATGTGCCCCCAGACACACCTGAAGGAAGCCTCATATGTGCCCAAGTGGGATTCTGAAAAATGTGCCCAAGTGGGATTCAGACACACAGACACACCTGAAGGAACACCTGAAGGAAGCCTCATATGTGCCCAAGTGGGATTCAAACCCCTGACACAGACACACCTGAAGGAAGCCTCATATGTGCCCAAGTGGGATTCAAACCCAGACACAGACACACCTGAAGGAAGCCTCATATGTGCCCAAGTGGGATTCAAACCCAGACACAGACACACCTGAAGGAAGCCTCATATGTGCCCAAGTGGGATTCAAACCCAGACACAGACACACCTGAAGGAAGCCTCATATGTGCCCAAGTGGGATTCAAACCCTGACACAGACACACCTGAAGGAAGCCTCATATGTGCCCAAGTGGGATTCAAACCCAGACACAGACACACCTGAAGGAAGCCTCATATGTGCCCAAGTGGGATTCAAACCCAGACACAGACACACACCTGAAGGAAGCCTCATATGTGCCCAAGTGGGATTCAAACCCAGACACAGACACACCTGAAGGAAGCCTCATATGTGCCCAAGTGGGATTCAAACCCAGACACAGACACACCTGAAGGAAGCCTCATATGTGCCCAAGTCATATGGATTCAAACCCACAGACACACCTGAAGGAAGCCTCATAGTGGGATTGCCCAAGTGGGATTCAAACCCAGACACAGACACACCTGAAGGAAGCCTCATATGTGCCCAAGTGGGATTGACACACCTGAAGGAAGCCTCATATGTGCCCAAGTGGGATTCAACCCAGACACAGTGAAGGAAGCCTCATATGTGCCCCACAGACACACCTGGAAGATGTGCCCAAGTGGGATTCAAACCCAGACACACCTGAAGGAAGCCTCATATGTGCCCAAGTGGGATTCAAACCCAGACACAGACACACCTGAAGGAAGCCTCATATGTGCCCAAGTGGGATTCAAACCCAGACACACCTGAAGGAAGCCTCATATGTGCCCAAGTGGGATTCAAACCCTGACACAGACACACCTGAAGGAAGCCTCATATGTGCCCAAGTGGGATTCAAACCCAGACACACCTGAAGGAAGCCTCATATGTGCCCAAGTGGGATTCAAACCCTGACACAGACACACCTGAAGGAAGCCTCATATGTGCCCAAGTGGGATTCAAACCCAGACACAGACACACCTGAAGGAAGCCTCATATGTGCCCAAGTGGGATTCAAACCCAGACACAGACACACCACACCTGAAGGAACACCTGAAGGAAGCCTCATATGTGCCCAAGACACACCTGAAGGGATTCAAACCCAGACACACCTGAAGGAAGCCTCATATGTGCCCAAGTGGGATTCAAACCCTGACACAGACACACCTGAAGGAAGCCTCATATGTGCCCAAGTGGGATTCAAACCCAGACACACCTGAAGGAAGCCTCACATGTGCCCAAGTGCGATTCAAACCCAGACACAGACACACCTGTTAAAACCCAGAGACAGTGGGATTAGAAATATGCTTCACATTGTTGTGCCAACATGGGAACCAAACTCAGACACAAAGGTACCAAACATAAGCATCAGTGTTGTGCCAAAATGGAATTCAAACTCAGAAACAGACACCAGAAATAAGCTTCAACTATTGTGCCCAACACGACTCAAGCTGGGTTCAAACCCAACCAGATGGGTGACAAGCTGACACTCTATCTGCTCGCCCTACAGTGTCTGGTCATATTAGTACCAGAAAATTCTAAAACAAGAAATAATAAACAATTCAATTTCATATTTTCTATCTTGCAAATATGATAATTTCCTACAACCATTTATTATTACACATGATTGCTAAACTATTAACTTGAGATTAACACCAAGTACAACACCTATAGTAGAATGGTAGTATCTATATGTACAAACACATTATTCACATGTCAACTGCTTTCAAAGCAATAAGCGTAATATAAATATTTGTGTGGTTATAAAAAATATTATTGGGATAAGATTTCACAGTGTTAAAATATGAAAGGACTGACTGACACTGAGTTTAGTTTTACTCCGCTTTTAGCAATATTCCAGCAATATCAAGGGAGGGGACACCAGAAATGGGCTTCACACATTGTGCCCATGTGGGGAATTGAACCCGGGTCTTTGGCGTGACGAGCCAACGCTTTAACCACTAGGCTACCCCACCGCCCCAAAATATGAAAGGAAAGCACAAGGTATGAAATGTGGTTTCCAATATGTAGGAATGTCGGGCTGATGAAAAATTATAACAAAAAATGTACTGGAGAGCCAAGTTTCATGCAGTTGAAAAAAAAAAAGTTTTACTTCTAGTTTATATACAATAACACTACAAATTACATATTTTTATATAATGCTGCCATTTTGAAATCTTATCCTATGTTTATTCATTGTCCAAACATTTGTTTTAATCTGAGACTGTCTTAATTTGAAATACAGAAAATTGACATTGATCCTAAACCAACAAGAACACAGTTAATTATTGCAGGCCACTTCTGATGAACATACTTCCACAAACGTATATTCCGAGATCAGTCATGCTTTAACATTTATGAAAATGAAGTCAACATTATATGCAGAAATTTCAAAAAGACATATGGAAGTATATAAAAAACAAATCATGATGTTTAATTTTGGAGCAAGCACAGTTTAGCACAACAAATGGCTGATAGCATGAGCATGCAACATCACCTTCAAGGGTAGCACCAAAAATTGACACCACACACGTGTAAATCAGAACTTGGAATACTGCAAATATCTTTGAATAATTCAAGTTAGAAGTTTAAAAGAAGTTTGCTAATCACAATGATCACCATTATTGGTGATGTAGTGAGTGAGTGAGTTTAGTTTTTTGCTGCTATTAGCAATATTCCAGCAATATCACGGCAGTGGACACCAGAAATGGGCTTTCCACATTGTACCCATGTGGGGAATCAAACCCGGGTCTTCAGCGTGAAGAGTGAACACTTTAACCACTAGGCTATCCCACCACCCTATTTGTGATTTAATGGTTCGCTACTGAGAACGACATTGGAGAAAACGACCCTACAACAGAAAATCTTGAAGGTGAAGGAGAAAACAATAACATAGAGAGTTGTGAATGAGTACATGTTTGGTGTAAATGCACTGAATAAAGATGACTGTTTAGGGTTGTAAATAACAAAAGATTACTTTTGAAGATTTTGAAAATTTCTTGACAGATTTCATTTTATCATGCTGGCTGAATCTTGTGAAAACTATCAAATGATTCTGCCCAAAATGAAATAATTCTAAGGTATCTAATGATATAATAGAATATTCTGATGATCTGTAGGAGGTAGGTTGTCCTGTCATTACAAGCATCAGATCCTACTATAAGTACTATAAGCTACTTGTCTGGTTTATACACAGATTAACAGGTGTTGTTGACAATCTGTACATACAGTATCTACATTAACTACAACAATCTACACAGCGTTGTGCAAACATCCTCTGTCCACAATACAACTTCGGATGTATATACTGAGGGAAAGAAATAAGGGAACACCCTTAATGGCAGTGTTCCTTTATTTATTCTCAGATTTCCTCCAACAGCACTATTCAAAGCTGGTGATGAATACTGGAAAATATTTAAGGAACGCTTGAATTTTCCTGTGTTCCTTTATTTGTTTCTCTCAGTATACTTATTGCCATATGTAAATATATTGACATTTTATACCAGTGCAAATATATTGAAAGTCAGTACCAGGGAGAAATATTCACATTTGTTCCCGGTGCAAATATTCAAATATTCAATACAAAGTGCTAGTATACTGAGGGAAACAAATAAGGGAACACCACTTCATGGCAGTGTTCCTTCATGTATTCTCAGATTTCCTCCCTCTGCGCAATTCAAAGCTGGTGATGAAAACTGGAAAATATTAAAGGAACACTTGAATTTTCCTGTGTTCCTTTATTTGTTTCTCTCAGTATATATTCAAATTTTGTACCAGGATTAAACATAGGCATTTTCTTCCTGAACAGGTAGATATTTTTATAACAGGTGCAAATATACTGACAGTCTATTCAGGTATATGACATTTAGTACCATGCATGAATATATTGACATTTGTACCAGGTGCAAATATATTGAATTTTTGTACCATATATAAATATAGACATTTTACACCAGATACACGCTCATACATTTTGAAACAAGTGCAAATATACTGATCTTCTGTACCAGGTACAGTAACTTGTCAAATATATTGACATTTTGTATCAGGTGCAAATTGCCATAACCTGTACCAGACAATACTATATTGACTTTTTGTACCAGGTACAAAACTACATATTCTACGCCTGCATTACAGGAGTGACATTCTATACCAGGTACAAATTTATATCACATATTTTGTACATAGTTCAAATTTAATATTTGTCTTTATATGTATATTTGTAATGACAGTTTGCACCAGGTGCAAGTTTACTGACTCACACACTGCCCTGGTGAATCAATATGTTTCATTTGCTATCACACCACTTCATATATGAATATCTGAAAATCAATTTGTATTGTCAGTATAACAGTAAACTGAATACAAAACATACAAATTTGGTTTTCCAATGGTTGACAATACTTAAATGTGCGAGGTGTCCCTGGTGGACGAAACAGGTATGACTGAGGAGTGAGTGAGTGAGTGAGTATGGTTTTATGCTGTTTTTCAATATCATGGCAGGTGATACCAGGCGCATTGTACCTATGAGGGGAATCAAACCCAGGCCATTGGTATGACAAGCAAACGCTTTAACCAGGAGGCCACCTCCCCTATGACTGTGGAAAAAACATGCTGTTATGTGGGATCTTGGGTTTTACTCGAATGTTTTACTCAAGTTTTACTCGCATAAATATCCACCTCACACAATCATTTTGGTCATAGAAACACTTTGCTAATATAAATGTTTTACTGAAAACTTCTTTACTGAAACAAAGTTTTACTGATGCCAAAGTTTTACTTAATAAAACTTTCAATGAGTTGATGTTTACTGAAACAATTGTATTGCTCCATCATTTAATGGTGTATGTTTTATAGAAGTGTATGTGTATGGACGGGACTGTTTTACTGATAAAACTGTCTTCATAAAACACTCTTTTGCTGATACAGTGATAGTTTTACTGATAAAACTGTCTTCATAAAACACTCTTTTGCTGATACAGTGATAGTTTTACTGATAAAACTGTCTTCATAAAACACCCTTTTTCTGATACAGTGATAGTTTTACTGATACAGATATTTACTGAAAGATGTTTTGTCAATGTGGATTTTTACTGATAGATGTATCAATATGGCTGTTTTACTGGTGTTTTATTAACATTGCTGTAATACTGACAAAGCTGTGTTGTTTTAGCAAAGCTATTTTGCTCATATCGTGATAGATGTCCTCACTATCAATATTCCCTTATCGTTGTTCATGGATGCATGTGTTAGTAAAATGGGACTACTAATAACAGTGGGTTTTATCTGCTGCTGCTGTTTAATAACATAAGGATATCTCCTGGATAGGTATTTTGGAGGTATGACCGTTTACTGTTAAAAATGTTTTACTGACATCATATACACTGTTTTATTGATGTAATGGTTTTACTGAGAAAATCATATATTACATGATTGTTTAATTGACAAAGATGTGCAATTGACTTCAAATTTTACACATAAAGATGGTTCAATTATATGACAGTTTAACTTTAGTTTGACTGTTTTACTGTTGTTTGTTCAATTATATGACTGTTTTACTGTTGTTTGTTCAATTATATGACTGTTTTACTGTTGTTTGTTATTATGACTGTTTTACTGTTGTTTGTTCAATTATATGACTGTTTTACTGTTGTTTGTTCAATTATATGACTGTTTTACTGTTGTTTGTTCAATTATATGACTGTTTTACTGTTGTTTGTTCAATTATATGACTGTTTTACAATGTTTTACTGATAAAAATGTCCTACTCACATGCCCAAGAACCAACACAACTTTATTTTCTCCGCCTACAAACAGTATTTGTTACATCACACACCATCCATCAGATCTTGTCGGCTTTAGCATAAACAAACATTCACATACAAATCCATAAAAAGACAGTCATCTTCACAACACGCTAGGTGTATAAATATGTCAATATATATAATAGATGTATAATAAACATAATGATATGCACAAAGCTCTTGGCAGGCTCAAATCTTATTAACAATGCATAGCAAAATACTTTCTCTGATTAAAGGCACACAATTAAACAATATTTAAATTAGAGAACCTTTACGTTTATCCTTTTCATATGAAATATATCAACAAGCAAAATATGCATTGCATCAGAAAGTGAGTTTACTTTTACACCGCTTTCAGCAATATTTCTGCAATATCATAGCAGGGGACACCAGAAACGGGCTTCACACATTGTACCCATGTGAGGAATCGAACCCCGGTCTTCGGCATGACGAGGGAGCGCTTTAACCACCAAATCATGATCATCAAGAGTTTTAATCTTTTATGGTTGATATATCTGATATCAAAAGATACATTGGTGAGATTCTATTTGTCATCCAAAATTTTTCTTCCAACTTATTATTTGCAAACAATAACAACCAGTTTTAGGAGAGATGTCAGTGATGTCATTTAATTGTGACATCATCGTTACTGATGATGTCACTATGATCTGCAAAGCATTGTGATACAATTTCATAACAGAGTTAACACCTAGGAGATATTGTTTGATATCAACAATGAATATCTCCTTTGGAAGCCAGTTTTGGATGATAAAATATCAACTCAATTTAAAGTTTGAAATATTTAAGCAATATAAAAACTAGAATGTTTCACACAACAGAGCAAGTTTATAACTAGCATGGACAGCATAAAATGTCTTAGATTTTAATATGATTACAGCAATAGAAAAATATATAAAGGCAAAGGCTACTTTCACAAGCTTCAGAGGTTATTCATGGACAAAATCTAGTATTGATTTCATGGAAACAATAAAACTGCTACCCAGATATAGCATAATGACAAATGTCCGATGGCCAGGCCATTGGAAGAGTTATGTCCCTTTAGTTGCAAGTAATTCTGTGTTTTCGTCGCCATTGTGCAATCAGAGATTTT